CACACACACACACACACACACACACACACACACACAGTGTGTTTCAAGCCACCAGGTCTGGGACTTGAACTGCAGTGGACTATGTGAGAGTCCAGTGATATAATCACCTGCTGGTCTCATGTATCTAAAATTTTTAAAGATTGGGTTTTTCAATATACGTTTTCTAAAGTAACAATTTTTTTCCCTAGGACACATGCACTCATCGGAGAGAGAGAGAGAGTGACGGGGAAAGTGAGAAGTCATCCCCCAGGGGGAATGGTCACGCCACAATCCTTTCTCCTCCATTCTCCTCCCAGGATCTTGGGCACACACACACACATACATGCCTGGCATGATTTTCAAGCCACCAGGTCAATAACTTGAACCACAGTAGACCGTGTGGGAGTCCAGTGACATAATCGCTACGGCATCTGCTGGCCCCTAAAGTAACAAATTTATATTCATCATTTTAATATGTCTTGACTCACTGCAAAGATAACAAGCCCTATTGGCTGACTCTTCCATAACGAGGTGGAAAAAGCACAGGGTAGGAGCCACCGTGTCTGGATTTGATCCAAGCTTTGTTGCTTAGACCAACCACTACAATGTCCCTGATTCTCCCGTCTGTGGAATGGGAGCAATAACACCCCGTGAAATGCCGACCACAGAAAAGCGCCCACTAGAAGCTCGCGTCTCCTCGGCATCACCGTGATCCTATGATGCCAGATTTGAGTTCGTCCCCCAAAGTCGTGTGCTGAGTCACTGTCATCGAAGTAGGAGGGTGAAACCGTGATCAGTAACGGCGTTGACAGGAGAGGCTGTAGGTGAGAGACCAGTGCTTGGGGGGATAGCGCAGGGGCCCCCACGACCTGGTCCTGGTGGGTCTGTAAGGAGAGAAAAAGAGGCAGGCGGCAACCCACGTGGAACCCAGGCCACGTTCTCCTGCCCACAGGCACGTTCTGAGACACGCAGACGGCCACCAGAGACGGCTCTCCAAACCAGGAGCTAAATAAACCCGTGTGTTTACAAATCACCCCGTTTCAGCCATTGCCTGCCATTCGTCATGGGATGCACTGGAACAGTCACCTCCAGGAAGAGCAGACGTGGCCGCTGGGAAGACAGCAATCGAGACTGCATTGTAAGCTGCTGAGCTGGTGCACGGCACCCAGGAAAACCGTCATATGCTGTCCGGTATTCAGAGGGCCGTGAACCCTGCACCTGCCGGCCTGGCGATCACCGATCAGCTCTGAGTTCCGGTCGTCTCACGGCCTGTCAACCAGAACATTCCACCACCCTGGTCAACGTGGCCATTAACTTCCGCATGATGGGACAGGGAAATAAGAGTGGTGGCTTTTCCTGCGTTTGTTTTCAGTGGAGGGCGTGTGAGAGGATCTCAGAGAACCCCCTCAACCACGACTGGCTGACTGCGTGAACAACGTGAAGGGGGATGGGAGGAAATCCCTTCTCAGATTTCAGAACGTGTAGAAGAATTAGAGCTGATTCTGCGAGCGAGACGGCCCTGCGGGAGAACCAGCTTGGGCTGGGCTCTGAGGCTCTTCCCTCCTGGGCAGGCCACGTGCCCTCCCCCAGAGCCGCCACGTAGGGCCGGTGCAGTCAAACACCATGGCCAGGCCTCTGCCCTAGCACCGTGCTGGAAAACAATGAGACAGTGGCAAGATTATCTCAGAAGCTAGCCCAGAACAGCAGTCCCTCTAGATAATCCTCAGCCGGTGCTTCCATTTTGAGCCAAATCTATAATATTTCCCCCAAAAAGAACAACAGCCACTCTATCCAAACCAAAAACCATAACAAGTGGTGGATTCTATTGATTTTAACTTCACTAAGTACTTTTTATTTCTTCAGGATACTGTCTGCCTCCAGATCCTGACCATATCGGTACCTGATTTGCCGAGCGCCTGACGTTTGTGACAGTCACACATTGCTGGTTGGCACATTTAGGTTTGCTTACTTTATGTATTTTGTCTGTTTCTTCATAGCATCAAATGAGGAAAGAGTATTTCAAAGATCTTTTCTGGCATATTTCTATATCTAATCTCTTTTAGTTAAGCAAAGGCTACTAAGAAATATTAAAATGTGGGGCTGGCAAGTGGTGTGCTGGTTAAAGCGCTGGACTCCTACCTAGCTGACCATGGTTCAAGTCCCAGACCTGGTAGCTTACTCTCTCTCTGTCTCTTTCTGGTGAGCACATATGTCCTCTAGCAAATTAAAATAATAATAATAAATAAAATTTAAAAAATAATTCTTTAAAAAAAGAAATATAAAAATGTAATAACAGATTTCATCAAAGCCCTTCCATTTCTGTCTCTTCTCTGACAATGAGGCTATGTGACATATTTGGGGGAGTTTGTGGTAAGTTTGTTCCTAGGTTTTTTTTTTTTTTTTTGGAGAGGTTTTCACTCTAGGGCGCGTGCGCTCACCAGACAGACAGAGAGACATAGAGACAGAAAGCGAGAAATCACCCCCAGGGGGGATGGTCATGCCGCAATCCCTTCTCCTCCATTCTCCTCTCGGGATCTTGGGCACACACGCACACACGCCCGGCATGAGTTTTAAGCCACCGGGTCCGGGACGCGAACCGCGGTCGACTACGTGGGAGTCCAGCGACATAGCCATTACGCTAACTGCTGGTTCCCGTTCCTAGGTATTTTCATCACAAGTAAATACATAACTCAGTTATTGCTAGCATTTGATCAAGGTGAACCAAGAATCTTTATTTCATTTAAGTTAATGCTTTGGGTGGTTCGTTGGTAGAAATGTCTAGAATCTTCCTTCTAACTGTAAAGGAATCTCCCTTTTCCCATCTCGATAAGTAAGGCGGGTGGGAGAAGAGACGCCAGCCCCACCAAAGACTTCCGCTTCCTTAGAGTAAAATGGGAGTGGTAGTAACTATCTAAGACGTCACCACGCCTGGCCTGTAGTAGACACTGGTTTTTGTTTTTGTGTGGAATATACATGTACATAGTTCCAGAACCCTGTAGCTTTCCGAGGTCTGTTAGAGACGCGTCCTACACCCTCTATTACCTATTGCCCTCCGACCCCTCAACTAGCAGCAAGTAGTTTCAATTCTCTCAGTTTCGTCACCTTTACATTTTTAGACATTACTTGTACTGTTACTTCTTGATCTTTCTACACTTTTTCACACACTTCCACCTTCCCCTGCACACTTTCATCTCACAGATACTGATGTCTAATGACCGAGCAACGCTTGCAGCATTAAATCTGCAAGCTCGTCCCTGGGGCCAGAAACAGCTACTTCTCTGCAGCTTTGCCACTGTCCCCCGGGAGCGCCAGGCCTCTCCTCATAACCCAGTAATGGAGGAGGCATTGCCGGCAGCGGCCGTGGGCCCTGGCGTGTGGCCAGTCAAGGCCAGTTGGAAGATATTTGAGAGGTGTAACGTCATTACTAGCTATACCACAATGTTGGTGGTACTGAAAGTCAGCGTTCGGACTTTTTCACAGCTGAGCCACTCGGTGTGCTTTGTCCAAATTCCCCATTATTAAATTACCCCCACACTCTCTGTCCCGGGCACACAGCCCTTCTCAAACACACACGTCCTCTGTCAGGTGAGCCCACCTTGAGCCACCTTTCCTGTAACTGTGTTCTTGTGCGCCCATTAGACCTACGCCTGCCAGGACACTGTCATCTTAGGGTCTCCTCTCCCACATCCTAGGAACTTCTTTTTTTTCAATACTGAAGGCTCTGCTTCCTGAATCCTATGTCTTCTTCCTTAGTTTCCATCTCAACAGAACCCTCTCAGTGGCTTCCTAAGAGCGACTGCAGGAAAGATAAACTTTTCTTATTTTAAGAAAGATTTTGTTATAGGGTGCACACACTCACCAGAGAGACAGAGACAGAAAGCAAGAAGTTTCATTCTCTGGGGGGATGGCCATGCCACAATCCCTTCTCCTCCATTCTCCTCTCAGGATCTTGGGCATGCACGCACACGCGCCCGGTGTGAGTCTCAAGCCTCCAGGTCCAGGTCTTGAACCATGGTCGACCTTGTAGGAGACCAGTGAAATAACCATTACACCATTTGCTGGTCCCAGCAAGATCAGCTTTGTAAGATCTCACATGTCTGACAATGACTTTATTCTCTAACGTCAGGTCCCAATGACTTCTGTGTCAGAAATCAACTCATCTCACAACTTAGAAAGCAACGCCCCAGTGTCTTTCAGCATCCGGTCTTGTAGTTGAGAATGTCAGTGCTGTTCTAATTTGTGAATAGTTGTACGTGCATCTTATTTTTCCTTGCCAATATTTTAGGCTCTTCATTCCTAAAATACCAACTTCCACAATGAGGAGCCCTACGTGAGCTGTTGGATTATGCTGGCTACCATACGGGACTGTCGGCTGGTCATACGGGGAGAGTCCTCCCGTGGGAGTCGAACACTGGCTTTCTCAGGTTGGCTTCTCCCACTTAGCGACATGCATTTAAGGTTCCTGCGTGTAGGTGTCAGGGCCTGATAGCGCATTTCTGGTTATTGCTGAACAATATCCCGTTGCACGAATGTTCCCCAATTTCCCCATTTTCCTGTCTCGGTTGTTCCCGTGTTTTGAATAAAGCTGCTGTTAACACGCATGTGCAGGTTTCTGTGTGGACGTCAGTTTTAAACTCATTTAGCAAATAGCAAAAACGCACAGTAGCCGCATCATATGGTAATAGAATATTTACATTCGTAAGAAATGCCAAACTGTCTTCTCAAGTTACTGAACCATTTTGAGCTCCCACAAACAAGACACGAGAATTCCTGCTTCTCTTTGCTGGTATTCAGCGTCATCGGTATTCTGGATTCTAGCCTTTCTAATAGGTATCTCACTGTTTTACTGTGAGAAAACCTCAGAAACGGTTATTGGAAGATGGGATTAAAGTACAAGTTTCCTTTGGGGCAAACAGAAATTGAAATGCGTGCATAATTTCTTCGTGAAACACATTTTCCATGAATTTTCGAAGAACCGTCCTAATTTGCAGCTCTTCAATGCGATACGAGGAGCAGCATCTTTTTTTATGCCTATCTGCCATCTGCGTAGCTGCCTTGGTAAGGAGGCTGTAAAGATCTCTCCTCGTTGTTAATTGGGTTGTTTGTTTTCGTAGTATCGAGTTTTAGGAGCTCTCTGTGTATTTTGGATGCCAGTCCTTTGTCAGATACGTGCTGTGTACCATTTTGTTTTTAAACGGTCTTAATAGCACTTTCCATCATTTAAAAATAAAAACAAAAGAGTGTAAATACTGAGAAGTTGTCCACAGCGCCCACTAGTACCACCCAAATCCATCCTTTTCCCTTTTCCCTCGCCACTTTTATTAGTTCTTTGTTTATCCTTCAAGGCTCTCCTGATGAAAATACAAATACAAATGTATATTCTTATTTTTTCCACTTTCTTAACGAAAGTACATCCCATTCCCCCATCATTCTCCACCGTGCTTTGCAGGTCTTGGGCGTGTGTCTGCCGCATGTCCTAGAGCTCGCTCCGTTGGCATGCACCTGTGTCACACTCCGGGGTGTGGATGTCCTCCCTTCGGGCTCGGAGGCTCCCTGCTGTTGGATACTGGCACGCTCACTTTCAAGGCGCCGGTGCTCCCAGCTGCTGAGACTTGCCCACGCGCCGTGATAAACGCTGGGTGCTTCCTAGCTTTCCCCCATTTCCAGCTTAGCTTCTGGTTCCTGATCATGCGGGCAGCTTCCACTTGTCTGTCTGCTTCGGTTTCTGGATTTTCTTTTCTTTTTTTTGTTAGAGGTTTTTGCCTTAGGGCACACTTGCTTGCAGTGCGGGGTGGGGGGGGAGGGGGGGACAGGGAGACACAGATAGACAGACACAGTGAGAGGGAAAGTGAGCAATCACCCCCGGGGGGATGACCAGGCAGAAATCCTTTCTCCTCCATTTCTGCTCCCAGGATCCTGGGCGTGCATGCACGTGTGCCCAGTGTGAGTTTCAAGCCACTGGGTCCGGGGCTCGTACTGCGGTCGGCCAGGTGGGAGTCCGGTGCCATGACTGCTCTGCCATCTGCTGACCCCATCGGGTTCTCTTTCGTTCAGCGCTGGGCATGGCAGTAAGGTCCTGAGAGTGGAGGACGAGTCCCTCGATGTCGGAACAGGTCCGCTCTCATTGTCCGTGCTTCCCCTGGACCCTTTCAGACTGTGGGCGTTCCTTTCCAGATAAATAGACTCAATGTTCACAAATGAAAATGATCTCAGAAGGAATGAGAAGGTGGGGCACGACTTTAATTCTGCAGCAGCTAACAGAGACAGTAGGGTCCAAAACGCCCTGGGCCACCCGGCAGGGGGCGCTGCTGCAGCCGATCTCTGCTCCCTGTCTGTGGCCGGGAATAGGACTTCGCTAGAAATCAGAGACAGCAATGGCTGCAAAGGAGACAGAGGACCGGAGAAGGGGACGAATCATAGGAAACACGAGTTTCTGGGCCACAGGAGTCATGGAGGTTAAGGAGCCTGGATCCCACATGGCCGACTGTGTAGTTTGAGTCCCGGACCGGCAGCTTGAAAAACGCACTGTTGCGTGTGCGTGTGTGCCCAGAATCCCAAGAGGAGAATGGAAGAGAAGGGATTGTGGTGTGGCCGTCCTCCCTAAGAAGTGATTTCTCACTGCCCTTTTCCGTCCTTCTCCAGTGAGCGCGGGTACCCTATAGCAAAAGGACAAAATGTCTCTGAGGCCAGTGACCAGCTGACACTAAATGCTCGCCCCGTATCTGTGGTGAACACTGCCACCTTTTGGACACCCACATCTCTGTGTCTCTCTATCTCCCATCCTGTAAGGCGGGCCACTGTCAACCTGAAAGTGCCTGACACTTGCCCGGCACTCCTTGCAGCCTGGCACGAGACACTCCGAGCTCCCGCCGACCACGCAGACTCACTCGGATGGCAGATCAGAAGGTAGTGACATAGAGGGACAGGCACCGAGGCTCCCCCGTGGCACGAGCAGCCCGTAACGCCACTGCTGGAGAGCGTCCCATGGCGTCTCTGGTCTCCAGCCGCGGTGGTGTGATGTGAGCGATGTCTTGCACGTCACAGGACTGGCGCTAGGGCATCCATCTGGCCACGGCTCCTGGACGGTGGCCTCAGCACCTGCTTCCCCGGTGCCCCGGCAATCTGTGAACTGCTGAAATCAATCTTTAAAAAACCCTTTCCACTTAAACCAGCTGCAGTCCGTCCTCACCGCCCTTCACTAAAAACCTGAACTAAAGATATAGACAATATATAGAGACACGGATTGGCCTGGCTCTGTGGCCTGGTGGCTAAGGCAGGATCCTACATGGGCGATGGCATGGTTCAAGTCCCAGCCAAGGTGACTTGAGAAACATTCTGGGCACGTGTGTGTGCGCCCACAATTCTGAGAGGAGGGAGATACGGAGAAGGGGTCGAGGGTGACCATTCCCCACTGGCTGAGTCCTTTCTCACTTTTCCCACCCCTCTGTCTCTCTCTGGCAAATGCACAAGCCCTCTGGCAAAATAACAAAACAAAAAGGAAAAAATATAGAGACAGGTTACATATTGAACCCAATTTAGGATGGCTCCCTTTATGGTTGTTCTACCCTTCCATGGGTTCCTTGAGCCCTAGACCCTCCCAGTGGAGGAGCATCAGTATAAGTGCCTTGCGAGCCTGCGGTCTGACAAGACGGTGCAAGACGACTTCACAGCACTTTACTCCTTGACTCGTCACCACACGCAGTTATTTCCACTTTGCAGATGAGGACAGTAAGGCAATGAGCTGCTTTGCTCAGAGACAGACTGCTAGACACGGTCGGAGCCCGGCTTCAACCCAGCAATGTGACTGTAACGCCACTCAGCTTGAGCGTATACAGGAGTGACGCGTACTCACAATTCTTAGGATGTAAATGTCTATAGGTAGTTACAGTAGAGCTCTCCCGAGAAACAGGAGTAATGGGATGCGTTTACAGATACAGAGAGAGATTTACTGTAAGCATCGGGCGCCCACGACTGGGGGGGGCCGGTAAGTGTAGAGTCCGCAGGCAACCAAGGTCCTGAGCCCAGGGGAGACCTAATGTCACAGCCCGAGCGGGAGGCAGTCTGGAAGGAGAATTCCCTCTGCATGTGTCTGTGTCCAAGCTTCCTTCTACAGGAGATTGCTGTGGGATTGGAGTCCACGCTTAGGACTTCATTTTCACTTAGGTACGTCTATAAAAACCCTATCTCCAAATTCAGGTGTGTTCTGAGATACTGGCGTTCAGATTCAACATGGGAATTTTGAGGTGGAAGACGCAGTTCAGCCCACAATAGTAGCGATTCATTGACCCCTAATGTAAATATAATTTGAAGGCACAAATGCAATCGTGAGGATTTTTCTGAGTTTGAGTGATGTAGCCATAGATTATCTTGGGGCCTCCTCAGTTTTGAAAAGACCAGTCCTGCCTATGACCACCATTATTGGGAAAAAATCATAGCTCGGTAAGAGGAATGATTTCTAATGGTATCAAAACAGTGACAATTTACTGTCTATGTTAGTAACTAAACAAGAGGGTGTTGACTATTACACAAAGTAACGACCAATGACTGAGGACCTGGATCTACTAATCACCCTGGTTTATCGATGCTGATATCCTTGTACAGAAAAGTCACATTGCACCCACAGATAGGAACCATTATTACACGTCTGTTTAGAAAATGCTAAGTACAGGAGCCACCAGGTGCTGTAGAGGTTAAGGTGCTGGACTCCCATGTGGTTCACTGAGTTCCAGTCCCAGACCCAGTGGCTTGAAATTCATGCTGAACGTGTGTGTGTGTGCCCAAAATCCTGAGAGGAGAATGGAGGAAAAGGGATTATGGCGTGGCCATCCCCCCGGAGAGTGATTTCTTGCCTTCTCTCTCTCTGTCCCTCCAGTGAACACATGCACCCTATAGCAAAAATCTCTCGAAAAAAAAAGAAAGAAAGAAAAAAGAAAATGGTGACTACAATACTATTGGTAAGATCTTGCATGTCTTACCTAAATAAGTGAGGCACAATGATGTCTCGCTGTGCCAAAATTCAGGTGGTTTCCTTAACAAGCGGTGTGAAGAGAACTAGTTCCAGTAGAGATGTCTAGTGTGCAGCCACTTGGAGAATCATGTAAAACGGAATCATTATAATACAGAACGTGCTTGGCTTCTCAAACATCCTTCATGGGGACCAGCAGTTAGCGTAATGGCTATGTTGCTGGACTCCCATGTGGTCGACCGCGGTTCGAGTCCCGGACCCGGTAGCTTAAACTCATGCCAGGCACATATGTGTGCATGTCCAAGATCCTGAGAGGAAAATGGAGAAAAAGGGATTGTGGTGTGGCCACCCCCCTGGGGGGTGATTTCTCACTTTCTTTCTCTCTGTCTCCCTCTTTCTGGTGAGTGCACGTACCCTATGGCAAAAACCTCTCAAATAAATAAATAAATAAATAATCCTTCACGTGCAGGAAGTGCGGGGTCTCAGCTATGGTCTCGCAGCTCTTGCGAAGATCTCAGACCTCGGGGGGCAGACAGCATCGTGAAGTCTGAGGCCACCCTCAGCGACGAGCACCGCCCTGGGAACGTGTTCTGTGAAGATTTGTTGTTCAGTAGTTGTAAGTGAAGGTGAGCATTTAGAAAGGAAACCTTGGGTCCAGCAGGTGGCATGGTGGTTGAAGCGTTGGATTCCCACATGGCTGGCCACTGTTTGCGTCCCGGACCTGGCGGCTTGCTTTCTCACTTTCTCTCTCTCTGGTAAGTGCATGAGTCCCTATAGCAAATTTAAAAATAATAATAACAGGGGCCAGTAGGTGACATGGTGGTTAAGGTGCTGGACTCCCACGTGGTTGACTGCAGTTCAAATCCCAGACTTGGTGGCTTAAAACACACAGGGCACATGTGTGTGTGCCCAGAATCCTAGGAAGAGAATGGAGGAGAAAGGATTGCGGCATAGCCATCCCCCCTGTGGGGTAATTTCTCACTTTCTCTCTGTCTCTCTAGTGAGTGCATGTACCCTGTAACAAAAATAAATAAATAAATAAATAAACTCTCAATAATAATAAATAAAATTAGATCAATAAGTCTTAAAAAATAAAAGAAACCCTAACTCCTCTACGATTTATTTAACTTCACCAAAGCATCTTGCCTTTGTAGAGAACTTTGTACTTTTCAAAGTGCTTGCACATACATTAGTCCTCTGCATCTAAATGGTCCTTGATTGGCTTAAAAGTTAAATCAACTTCCTATCGTGTCTAACTGTCTTCAAGAGCACTTTAGGAGCTGAAAAAGTGACCCAATGTGAGGCGATTGCTCTGAGAGCATCTGGAAGTCAAGGCGTTGTTACAGACTCGCGAACAATGAAGCCACGGAGTCAAACCGCTATGGGGATTCTAGAAATTACACACTGTTCTTCAGTCCCTAACTGTGTACCTTGTTTTCACACCATTTTCTTAAGGCCGGCTCTCAAGGGCCATTTACCCATCTTAAAAAAATTCTGACGAAAACGTGCTTTGAGTCTCAGTCTGCCTTTACACGAATAGCCACACCTACATATTCTTAAACCTAAACTAAAGGTGACTTGTGGCCCAAAGACCCTAACAAGGACGAGTGCTGTAAGAAGGGGGCCTGCATATCAGCCCCTCCACTAACAGACGGGGGCTTCTTCTCTCCGCCAAGTCGTGGTCTGCGTTTCTGCCCACGTGCCTTCGGCATCACACGGGAAGTGAGCCGGATTCCTGTTTTGTGTCACTCTGGGAGCCCGTCCCATTGACCGACATTAGGTGGGGGAATCACCCGATTTGTCCAAATACACTTACGTGGTGCACAACAAAGCATTGGCTGTTCCCACCCACTGCAAGAAAACTTTCCAAAAAAATTTAAAAATAAGGAATGGACGCGACACGGTCTCGAGGGCTGTTTGTGATCCTGCTTCCGGAGCCGGTAGCCACGGAGACATGTGTGCTGTCGGAGCAGGGGGGCTGTTTCTTCTGAGCTACAAATACAGAGAGTAGAAAGATCACTTTTAGCATTCAAAGCCTAAGTAACAACCTTAGTCTTGCCCATAAGTTGTTCTCAACCTATGGATTGCAGGAATACTCACTCAGAGCTGTTTTCTATTTATTTGGTGTCAAATTATGAGGATGAATCCAGCCTTCAGATGCACGTAAGGAAACAGTAGCTGATCCCCTGTAACAGGTGTGGAAGGCGCCGTCCGTGCTGAGTGTAAAACGCATCTCCAGCTGGAGCTGATTACGGTGTGCGGTGACGGATTGATCGAGGTGGAAGTGCAGAGAAAGCCTGTCAAAGATACTTTCTGATATGGATCGGAGTGTGTAATTCTAGGGAGAAACTCGTAATGCCCTTACAGTTGGCCCTATAGATAGCATCTCTCCTATGCTAATGCAGAATCTCCACTTTATTTCTTTAGCATCTGAATTTGAATACTCAGATCTACTCAAATACTGTTCATGAGGACCAGCAGATGGCGTAGTGGTTACGTCACTGGACTCCCACGTAGTCAACCACAGTTCGAGTCCTGGACCCTTAAAACTCACGCTGGGTGTGTGTACGTGCCCAAAATCCCGAGAGGAGAATGGAGGAGAAGGGACTGTAGCATGGCCATGCC